CTGACGAAAAAACAATGGTGCGTCTGTTTCAACCAGTTTGATAATGAATTTCAAAAAATAGAAAATAATGTAACCCAAACACATTTTTCACGTATCATAAACTGCAGCGAATCTCACGTAATAATCACACTTTCCAATTTTTTTAGCAACTTCTTTAACTTTTCACGAAACCTGAATAGAGCAAATTTGCTTATTTGGTTAATAAACTATTTTACGAACTATTATTATTCTTATTAAGATTAATATTATGTTGTTAATGCATAATGGCTCAATAAAAACTATATTTAAAGTTAAATGGCGAACTTATGAGTGCTGTACATAAGGTGTTCAAGGACATTATATAAAAACTCATAGCTTTATTTATTTAAATTCAATTATTGTTTTGCATAAATACAGCGAGACATGTTCGAGAACGAAGAACGTGTCTTAATAAAGTTCGTTGCTATAGTCGTTAATACATTTATCAAAAATACCACTTATCTTATTAAATTGCACATGTTTTAGTTGATTTTTACAGTGGTTATGGTCTTTTATTATATTAAATTTTTAAAGTAGTCGGTTCGTTAGTTTCGGAGACACTCATTCAAATAAAATTGTCTACAGATGCTGGACAGACAAACGGAAACGGAAAAACGCATTTTCGTGTTGCAGTGCCATGAACCGCTGAACGCGAGCTTGTCCATTCGTCAAAATGACCCAATTCCAATACTTCCATTTGTGTTTCTCCGAAACCAATAAAATATTTTCTTTCTCTAATTAACGCCACCTCCTCGTTTTGCCGCAACGGAAGCGAGACCCACAGCCTTGCGAAAATTTCCGCCCGGTCACGCAATGCGTTCGCGTTTCCACCGAAAAGCCCCATTTCTCGTCACCCAACCCATCGGGATGAATGGGGAAAGCGGCATGGAGCGAAAGCGCATTGCGCTCGCGAATTGTTCGCTCGTTTCCTTGAATGTACGCTGTTTCATTCATGATGGCTGCCTCCCATTCATAAAAAGCCGGGGATCGGTTCTTGGGTCGTCCGCTCGGTGCGCCACTGTCGCCCCTGCTGTCTCACCGACCCGCGCTGCCTCAGTGTACTTCGCTATGCTGTGGAGAGTGGTCGTCGTGCATCCGTTCCGTGCGAGCCGCGTCCGTTTCGTCCCATCGTAGCCCCATCGACCCATCGACCACCATGCCGTGCAGCGGTGTCCCAGCGGCGCCCCTTTCGACTCCAGCTCGTCCCTTTTTCCGCCCATCGCCAGTGCACGTCTCGAAGTGAGTTTCCGGCCCATATGGGCGTCCTTGTTGGGTGTTTGTGTGCCGCGACCTCGTCCACCTGCGTGCGTATGACATTGAGGTGTGTGGGTGTGCTTGCTGTGTCCATTCACCGAGCCGCGGACTCCCAAACCGACTTTCTCGTTACGTGGGCCGGGTACAGTCCGCGCCAAAACGCACGCCACTGCCTCCATCCGACGAAGCCGACCCGGAAACGCCGTCGCCATACGCCATATCCACCACGCTCGACGCCGAAACGCACCCGCAACCGCAATCGCCGCTCTGGGATTACTCGCCCCGACGCAAATCCGCCTCCCCGGGACCGATTTTTCATTCCCGATAACATTGCTCTTCTTCAGTGTAGGTGACGTAACTGCCATTAGAAGGCATAACACAGTCGCCATCCACCCCGACTCCCCACAATTTTCACCTGGTTGTCGACCATAATAGGTTTCTTCCTATTTCTTTACTAATTTCGCGATTTCGTGCGCGTTGCGCACGGTGCTTTCTCTCTCCGGGTGGCGGTTTGCGGTGGCGAGCGCGGCTGCCGCGCCCCGGGGGCGCTGGGGGCGGCACGCGACGGAAGCGGCACCAGGTGCGGCGGTTCCAGGCTAGGCCTTCGGCGCACCCACTCGCGGCGTGGGTCGCGCTGCCCACTTTCGTAAACCACGTCCAACTCGTACATTGTACATGCATATTTATGAGGCGATGTGTGCATGTGGTGGCGGCGGTTCGCGTGTGGGGCGCCCACCCTCGGCCCTTGCAGCTGGGGCCTGGAGAGGTTTCGGCGGCGTTGCCGCGGATGTGGTGTAGTTGCGCCCACGGAGACGCGAACGACCGGGTAGAAACGTTCGAGTGGCCATTTGGTGGCGCGAGAGTTGCTTGTAAATTTTGCAAGATTTCAGTGGCTGCGGTCGCGGTTGTTACTCAATTGCCGAGATGTTGCGTTATTAAATGGGAGATCAAAAAGGCAATTTCTAATACCGTTCGATCGTGAGGTTGCTTTGGTTTAGAGCATGCCGCGTTACGTCGGATTTCTGCCTAGCGAGACGTAAATCGGTTCTGTTGATTTTGGCGTTTTTTAAATCAAAACAAACAAATTCGTTCTAATAATCTATTAAAAGTAAACGGAGTATATAGAAAATACGTTAAAAAAAGCTGGAATTTGTATAGTCGGGCCAAAGGGGGATTAGTTTATCGAGTGCCGTGTTCTTTGAATCGAATTATTGCTGTGTGCATAAAAAAAGAAAATTCGTGTTCATGTTTGGAGAAGTTTATTTTATAGAGTTGTTCGTATGTTTTGCTCGTGGAAAGTTTGTTGTTTCGATAAAACATAAATTCGCCACAAGAGTTTCTTAAATTTAAAGTTCGAAAATATTTTGTGTTTACAGTTGTTAATTTTTTTGTTTCCTTGTAGCCAGAAATACCACGTCGAAAGAAACGTTTTGAGTGAACAGAAGTTCCACAGTTAAATGTCAATCTTGTGAGTGATAAGCTTATGAAAATAATGTAACACCCTTTTTTTAAGAACTTGTATTTAAAATTTTTAAAATAATATACTCCTCCACTTGTAGTTCGACTCAAAATAATAATTCATGAATGATTCAGTTTATTTTATTGATCAAAACAAACTGCAAAACCGAATGCTTTGAAATGTTGCAGACGTTTTAAAGTTATTGTAACCATGGTAAATTTGTAATCAAAATATGTTTATCCCCTTGAAAAAAATTGATGACCTCATCTCAAAACTTTGCCGAATAAATCCTATAGAAAATAGATAAAATATAGTGACTTGTGATTTAATATTTATGAGATTGATACTTTTTAGAAAATATGAGTCAATTCACTTTATTGACTGTTTTTATTAGTGTTCCACTGCACTTATGCAAATTGATATACGTGTCCTTGCAAAATTTTGATGACGTCATCACAAAATTTTGTAAAGGAAAAGCTCATTCGAAACATTCGTGTAGCACGCTTCTTTACGTTTATTTTAGCATTACATACATATCTTTATTTTAACTTACAGTTCTCTTAACAAAACAAATAAAATTCGCAAAATCAAATTTTTCGAAAAAGCCCTATGTGTCATTGTATTTCAGGGGCGAGACACGTTCTTTGATGTGTTAATTTTTTTTTTCCATAGTTCTGAAATGCGGCAACCAGCCCGGGGTTGTTTGTTTTAGAATGTTCCACTGTTTTAGACAAATCATTTTAATGTAATAGAGGTACCAGTTTTTTGTAGTTTTGTATATTTTTCTATTCCGAATTTAGTTCCAAAAAATTGCGTCTTTTTGTTTTCTTTTCTACAAAATTCTCAGTACCATTTTTAGTTTGTGTAGCTACTACCCAATTCAAAGAGTGGCTCATAAATTAAAGATAAAGGAGATAACAAAATGCAACAAAACGCTAACTTCTTATTTTCACAAGAATGACGTGAAATTTTTATTCTGTGTCATGGATGGTATCGGGAAAAATAGGTAAAACATTAGTCACATCAAGTTTTTCACTGAATTGAATATTTTTTCAAAATTCTAAGTTAATTTTTGTTGTGTTTATTTCAGAACGACGGGTTTTCTCTTGTATAATTTCAATGATGACAAAGGGATTCTCTATGTTTATCGCGAACAGTACCCCTGTTTTTTAGAAAAAAACTTGGCGAGAATATAATTAAAATCTTTTTTTAGGTGACCATTAGAAATTTAGTCATTTTACACCTCCAATCACGTCCATAAAGTGTAACTTTTTTGTACTCAGATGTCGAAAACTTCCTTCCAAGGCCCCATGATTTTTATCTTTTTTTTTTTTTTACGAAAAAATATTGTTCTAAGCCCAAAATCCCTTACATAACCAATTGTGTTTCAGTATGGTCGCTAAAAAAACGTTGTGTGTACCTCGGCCAAAGAGAACTCTTTCGGCTTCATTTGATTTATAGGCCTCGGCTACGCTTCGGTCTCAAACTTCACATCGCCCGAAAAATTCTTCTTTATGGGCTTGATACACAAATAACTATAATGACATATTATGTCCCATTTTACGATACATGTCTAATTTTATTTAGGACTAGAATAGAACCCCAATTTTCTAATTTCAAATTTTTCCTATTTTGGAGTTACTTGGCCCCAAACACAAAATAAATTTGAAGGATTAGATAGCACAAACACGCGTCTTGTGAAAATGTTTATGATAAACGACAACTTTTCGATCTTTTCGCAAATAAAATAATGTATAGTCGGGGAAATTTAAAATGACAAACCTAATTATTAAATCCGCCATAGGATTATCACAGAAATATTTACTTTTGTCAAATAATGTTTATTATGAGATGAAGATCAGTCAAGGGAAAGGGGATTGAAATAACAACCACGTAGAAAATAGTGACACGTTTTGACAGTACACAGTTTCTATTTTTTTGGTTTTATGATAACTTTAAAAGTTGGATCTGTCACTTTAAATTTCCCTGACTGTACCAATGTTTAGTTCAATTTTGCTATTTCAGAAAGGACAGTTTTCTAAATTATCAATTTAAACCAGAATTTCTGCTAATGGTTACAACGGAAACGATGCTCGTCAGCACAAAATCACTTCTTGTTTTGTTATTTTATTTAACAGCAAACAATTTCTAGAGTGTTACAAAAATTGAGATTTATTTTAATGATACGGTTTTGGTGTGTTGAAACGTTGTTAGCTTGGTGTATATAAGATGTAAGAGTTGAGTGTCTGATGGATTGCGTTTGTTGCAGGTGCTAGCGACGATGAGGGACCTAGGAGGAGCCTGGCACGGCCGCTAGATCCCCTGGCCATATGGCTCACTATGGTGGCCCAACTTCCCCGCCGCGCGTGCATCGCCCGCGGGCGCCCATCATGAGCGCCCCTGCGCCGCTGACCGCTCCTCTAGCACCGCTGCGGCCTCAACCGCCGGTAACGCTCGCCGCCCCACGTCCAGAAAATGAACGGGCAACGAACGAGTACGTGGAAACCCCGTTTCGAGCGGCCAAGCCGCCCACCCCGCCTCCGCCGCCCCAGCCGCCCCGGAGCCAGCGGCCCGCCCGGCTCGCCCTCCCCGCGCCGACGCCCCCCGTCACCAAGCAGCCGGCGACGGCTTCCTTCAGCAAGGAGCCGGCGGCGGCCGAGTGCGTCGCCCGCCCCTCCATCGTGTGCCCCGAGTGCAGCCGGTGCCGGTGCGAGTCCTGCCAGCAGCCGCGGCCGCTACCCCAACGCTGGGTCTGCAACGACGGCTGCCTCCTCTCCGCCGACAGCGTCGTGGACTACGCCTCCTGCCTGTGCTGCGTCAAGGCCATGTTCTACCACTGCTCCGAGGCGGACGGCGGCGAGTCCTGCGCCGACTACCCCTGCGGCTGCGGCCCCGACCGCCGCAAGGCGCGCTGGGGCTGCCTCGGCGCGCTCTCCTTCGTCCTGCCCTGCCTCTGGCTCTACTGGCCCCTGCGGGGCTGCAAGCACGTCGTCGAGCTGTGCTACGCGAGGCACTCGAGGACGGGCTGCCGCTGCCGGCCCCCGCTCGCCACCCCCGAGAAAAGACTGCTGGACTCGAGCCCGGACTTTTAGTTGTTGTGGCAACAGTGTCGTACGGACGGAAGACGGGTGCCACCCCGTCACGACTGCCATGTGTACCTAATTGCATAACCGATACTTTACATTAATTTATTTCTCTTTTTTGTAAATATACAAGTGTAACTGAACATGATATTCCGTGCTTGTTTGCCGAGTGGCCCCCGGACGTGGACCTAGGACGTCGTCGACTTGAAGAGGTGCTGTGCTATGCTGTGTTATTTTGTGTACGCTGATTCGAAGGGGGAGGGGGCACCGGAACTACCGCGGCTCTCCAGTATTATCTAGTCCTGCGCTCTGAGAATTACCGCTTCCGAGTCGTGTGCGATTCCCTTTTTCTCGTATACGTATATATATTTGACCCAACTCGGATACCCACCAACACCACCTACCCACCTACCTACCTACTTACTATACCCGCACCAAATCCATCTATCTATCTACTCGACTAACAGAATATGATGAAGTAACATTCCACTACTTCACTAGATGGACCGTACTGTATCCCTCCGACTGTCAAAAACATTAGGTTATGTCAACGTCGTTGACATGTTTTCCACTAAACCGGTTTCACACCCGAACGAGTCATTTTCGCACTGCCAAAATACAATGATCGAGCGGTGTTGGTGTAGATCCGATTCAGGTCTCGTACATATATATCCGTCAGCCCTTTACTTAGTCAGGTCCGCGAAGCTAAACCGCCCGCCTTCTGTGAAGTCACCGGTAGCGGTATTCCCGGATCCCGGAGTCGCCACACCACTCGGAAGCGTCATAGTCGTGTGAGTGTGCCTGTATGTTTGCTGATGTACGCATCAACACAACACACCTGCAAAACCTGTGCTTAAACCACCCACGAAATTCGCATATTTTTTATTATTCTCATCATTATTATTATTGCGATGACGCCTCATACTTTCTACAACAGTATTACATTCTCTCACTTTTTTCTTTTATTCAAATATGTTGAAATCTTGACCGCTTTCGAAGAAAGAACGCGGTTTAATCACAGGTCCGTGGGCGATATTGAAACATAACAAAAGATTTACAAGTAGTCTGTACTACCCATGTAACAACTTACAAGAAAAACTGTACTGTTTATCGCATTCGAGTTAAATGTTGGTGCGGTAAGGTGTCGCACTGAGAGAGGGGAGTTTGCGACTGGGAAAATTTCTAAAAATCCAGACATTCGACTTCTTACACATATTTAAAATTATTTTGTATTATGCGTTTGTCTGGGTCTGTGATAAGAAAAATGAGATAAACTCGCCTCGTCAATGCGGTCTTTATTCGCGCAATCGTTTCGTAATGGTAAACATACATCATAGGAGTTATCGTTCTTTGCTTTGTAAAACCCACCATTACCCATTCTAACTTCACACAGTGTCGTGTAAACCACCTTCAAAATTTGTCGAGTACAGTTCCTATTGTTACAGACATACATAACTCTACATTTTATCTAATTAAAACAGGTGTAATTTTTTCTATTCGTATATAAAAGAATTTAATGTGCAAACAGATTGCGCTGGGTGTGTATCGTACGTAAAGTAAACTACAATTTTACAAAAACCAATCACTTGTTTTTGTACTGTGCTTTTCTGGTTGTTGCATAAAATGCACCGGAGGACTCATCGCAAAAGCAACGACGTGATTTGTTTTCGTAAAACAAGTTATGTCATGGGGGAGATACTCTCATTATTTTTGAGTGCCAAAAGGCGCAAACTGTATAGTTACTGTACATATTACAAATTAGTAATTTTGTAAAGGTATATAATTAGATCGCTGGATGAGCGTAACGCTAAAAAGTGCCACCGCATGCATGTTCCGTTTGACTAAAGTCCATCCTCCACGACACTACGAAATTTTCCCTGAATTGCAAAACCGTCAGTCAGAGTCAATACGGAGTTTATTCCACCGGATGTCGCGTACGGTTGCACCTTTTTAACCACCATCCGCCGATCTGATGATATAAGTAATGCAAAGTCGTTGTTATTCTCTAATGTTAATAACAACAGATCATCGAAGTTACGACTGCATTTTTATTTCCGCCATCCTCGAACCCCGCAGAAACGCGCCGAACGCGAGAAGCAGAGAAACGCTAGTCACGTGATCCACCGGAAACGCCAGTTATACACAGGCAGGATGACTTCCATCTGGTTACATCCTCATTCAAAGTCCAAAGGAATTTTCAACCGACAAAAAACATAGGTCGACCACACCGCCTTCCGTTTCTCGCTTGATTAGATACACTTCAGAATTTTTGAGCAAAAAATCACGTTTGCAGGTAGGTATGGAGCGGATGCGGCAGGTCTACGCACGAAAAAACTACGGAGAAGATGCGTTTTTTATGCGGATGCGGACAAAAGTGCGTTAAAGTGGCCAATTAATCAGACGCTGTTGGCTGTTTTCGAGCCGTTCGAGTAGGAAGCGTGGCCTGGACGTGGAAGACGTTGCCAACGGTTTAATTAACGTGTGTTTTCGCCACGTGTGCCCGAATATTTCCGAAAAACTCGGATTTAAGTGATTTCAGACGCTGCTGGCAACCGTGTTCGCGTCTCGTTCGTCTTGAAATAGCTAAAGAGTGAATGAAGAAGGGGCGTGAGGGGAGGTTTCTCGGAACAGACGAGAATCGGCAATCCGCAACACCCACCAGCGCGGTAGGCAGGACCGGACTCGGTCTCCATATGACGCCGCTGGTCGTAAAAAGTGGCCGCTATTCACGAAATGAATGGGAGCTTCTGTGTTATACGACTTATTCATATTGTTAAATAATTACAAAAAAAAACTTTGTGATGAACTTTCTTCTCTGTATATTTTAAATTTGGAAAAAAAAATTGAACGCTCGAAATGTCACTTTCACGGTTCGATGAACTAAATGTAAAAATTAACCAAAAGGTAAGTATGGCAGATATAGGAAAAAATGTACAAAATTCAGTGGGGGTGGGGAGTGACGTGTATAAAAAGAACAGATTTTTGCAACATACAAGTAAGTTTTTCGAAAGAGGAAACTTGTATTTTTGTATTTTACAACTACTTGAACTCCAAAAAATAATAAAAAGTCTCGTCTCTGATTATTTGAATAGTAGAAATTAAAAATGTATGATCAAATCTGTTATAGACATCAAAGTAATAGTAGTACCAAATAATTAAAGACCGTAAAAAGTTTTTATCTTGTATAGCACCTATACAGATAGTAGTTTTGAAACAATTGCAAAAAAATTGCTTTGAGGTGAAACACCAGGCACACATACCCGCGTCGCTTTTTTGCCCTTTTGTGTTCATCGTAATTGGACAACACAACTACTGAATTTGAAATTTTCTTCAACTAACGGGTGTTCACTTGAAAAATCATTTAGAGAACGCATTGGAATTTTATTTGACACAACCGCCATGTCTGTTCTTAGAACATCCATTTGGCAGAAACATGACCTGTTATACGCTATTTGCTGTAAGAACAGACATGCCGTTTGTGTTAAATGATATTCCAACGCCTACTCTGAGTGATTTTTCAGTTGAACACCCGTTACCGTTGTTGGAAGTGCTATCACCTATATTATTTCGTAAATATTGTCCACGATATAAACATTTTCATTTTAGACAAAGCCACGATCAGTGATTACAAAAGTTTTGAAGACTAAAATAGTTTCGTTTAACAAAATAAGAAAAAATATTGTGGGAAAAGGAGGTCCAGAGCCACCCGTGTGTATATAGTTGACAATTTCAAAATAAAATTTCTTGATAATTTTCAAAATTTTACACCCTAGGACCATTCTTATTTTGATTTTCGATGTTGTAATTCACATTTGGTTAATTATAGCTTGTCCGGATCTAGCTACGGCCTTGTCTAGCGGTTATGAAATATCGAGAAAATATGAAAGTACCAAATTGCCCAATGAACTCCATTATAGTACGTCCTTGGGTTATCCTCGATAAGAAAAACAACTTGAAAGTGTTTATACATTGGAAGAATGTCACGTAGAAATTAGTTTGATTTGAATGAGTTCGTCCCCTCAAAACAGAGGATGAAAACTATTAAGTAGTAAACTGCAATCGACAAAATGTTCTGAATGTCATTATTATAGTTCTTATTAAATAAAGACGTTTGTGTTTTCACATTTTCGGGAAAATGGGGTGACTCGTTCTTAATTTGTTCAATTAAAAATATTAATGCAATGACGAATCACAAGTAAAAACTCATCATATTTTGCACATTTTGAGTAGAATTTATTCGGCAAAATTTTGAGATAACGTCATAAAATTTTTGGGGGAATAAACACCTTTATTTTGAATTTACCACGCTTACAATGGCTTTAAAACGTGGGCAAGATTTCAAAGCATTCAGTTTTGCAATTCTTGAGTTATTCAATAAAAAAAAATTGACTGATTTATTAATTTTTTTCAGTGACACTGTGTATAAGGAATTCTAAAAAATATTAATGCAGTGATAAATCACAAGTATAGACTCATCATACTTTGCACATTTAAGATAAGATTTGTTCAGCAAAATTTTGAGATGACGTCATCAATTTGGATGATATTTTCTACATTTTAGGTAGGATTTATTCGGCAAAATATTTTGAGGGGATAAGTAAATGTATTTTGATTAAAAATTTGTCATGCCTATTATAGCCTTAAAACAACTGAAATATTTCAAAGCGTTCGGTCTTGCAGTTTCAAAATTAAATTGCAAAATGTTGTTTTATAATTTTGATTTTTTTTCCAAAAATCTGGAGGTTTCGGATAAAAACTCAACACGGTGTGATAAACTACATGTGTAGGACTATGTTATTTTATACAATTTAAAACCCATTTGCTATGTACAATTTTGAAGTGGATTTATCACATTATTGATGGGGATGATTAGACAAATTTTGGTTAGCGTTTTACCATCTACATGATATTCCTAATATACATAAATACAAAATTTGACAACAATCGGTGCAGTACATTCAGAGATTATCTGTCTCATAAAAATCCGTGATGGCAGACAGACAGACAGACGGAAAAGAGAAACCTATTTCTTCGTACTCTTGGGGTCATGAAAGGTCGAGAAAGCGTAAAAGTAGAAAGTCGGATTCGCTTACGCTAGGGAAGTAAAAATTGGTGGAAGGTTATTTCGACAGAACTTTTCGCACCCCGGAAGTATAATAAAACATATCCAACTTTTTTGAAAAATTGTAAAATTTGATTTTACGAATTTTATTAATTTTTTTAAGACAACCCTTATAAGTTAAATAAAGATAAAGTGAATGTAAAGATAAACAAGCGTGCTACGCTTATGTTTCAAGTGAGTTTTTCTATTACAAAATTTTGTAATGACGTCATGAAGATTTTTGCAAGGATGGGGCAGTGAAGGACTAATAAAAACAGTATTGTATTACCAAATTTTCGGAAAAATGGTTAGCCGCTCTGATTTAAACAATACAATAAACTGCCTTATTCATGCACTTTTTTTGGGTCACTTGTATAAACAATTCTAAAAAATATTAATGCAATCACAAGTCTAGACTCATCATAATTCGCACAATTTAGGTGTAATTTATTTGGCAAAATTTTAAGATGACGTCATCAGTTCGTAGGGATGTCATAAACAGATACATTTTGATTGCGATTTACCATGTTTCCGATAACCTTGAAAAGTTGGCAAGTTTCAGAGCATTCAGCTTTGCGATTTCAAAGTTAAATTGGAGAAAGCTGTTATACAAGTTTGATTTTTTTTACAAAGATCTGGATGCCTATTCAAAACGGATTCATAAACTACAGGTGGAGGAGTATGTTATTTAGTAAGGTTTAAGTGACAATAGTTCGTGGGGACGATCAGACAAATTTTGCTTAGCGTTTTGCAATCTACACGATATTCTTAATATACATACAAAAATTGTCAACAATCGGTCGGATAGTTTGGAAGATAATCTGCCTAATAAAAATCGACACAGACGCGGACTGACGGAAACGATAGACTGCAGTTTTCGTACTCTAGGGGACATGAAACGTCAAGAGAACATAAAAGCAACTAGTTGCCCGATAGGAATAAATATTTTAATATGGATATGTCTATGAGGTAACCCGTTTTTAATTTAATCACTAAAATATGTAAATTGCTTCAGTCATTAATTTTTTGAGAGTCTTTGTATAAGCAATTTTAAAAAATATGAATGCATTGTTAAACCTATGTATCCTCATGCTACTTAGCACATTTTGGATGGGATTTATTCAGAAAAATTTTAAGATGACATCATCAACTTTTTCGAGGAAATGAACGGATAAATTTTGGTTAGCGATAGTACTTTATTAGCTACTGAAAAATATAAAAAGAAGATTGTCATATCATCATAGATTTAATCAACGTGTCGTTTAATGATCGTAACAAAAAGATTACACAAAATCGGATTTTTTTGTTTGATGCAGCATGAGTGGTTTTTTATTTGATAATTCAGTGAGAAATATTAAACAATTGCTTGCCTTTTTCCCATCAAGGATAGAATATATTACCTCTAATTCTAAGGAAATCGCCAACTAATAGTCACAAAATAAATTATTTCTTCTAATTTGTCTGTTTTAAACACTAATTAGACAGTTATTTATTAAAAACGCCAAAAATACTAAAAAGTTCTAAAAACGCGTTTTTCGTCATATTGTTACTACATTGTTGTTGTATGATTAATTATTATTTTCACCTTCGGTTTACTATGAATATTAAAAGTCACTCTCAGAAATAAAATACTGTAAAAATTGCAAATATACTTGCTTTTGTTAATATAAAATAAAAATATATAACTTATTTATTTATAGATTTAACATTATATTTTCAGAACAGCATCCTTCTAGGCTTGGTTTTTAAACTTATTTTACAACTGGTAATAAAAACGTGATTATTTATTCTTATAGAGATACAGTGTGAGGCTATATTTTTATTTAGAATTTGTTACAGATTTTTATAAATACTGTATATGGTGACATTGAATTTGTCTTAAAATTTGTCCCGAAATATCTTTATTTGATTCTTATCTTTTCGTTATTTATTGATG